TATTAATAAATTACACAAAAATTTATTACCGATTTTCATAAAACCTGCTTGTACCTTTTACAAAATAACTTTTTTCTAAATAGACACTCTTTTTATTAAAGATTTTGTAGTAAGAAGCTCATTATTGTCCACAACATTACCTTCTTTTTTCTTCATTTAATAATAAATATAATGCAATTAGTGCAATATTATTACGATCCATCACTGAACTATGTACTTATTATTAACTTTACACGATACCAATAATCACTGGCGAAATACGGAGAGAAGTACTTATAATAAATTATTGAGGAGTGACATTGTTACTATGACAATATATCGTTATAGAGACTATAAATAAGTCTTTACGGTCAGCAAATTTCTCGCCATAACTTTATAGAGACTTTAAGCTTATAGAATTTTTGGTATAGAGAAATATTTCCTTAGAGAATTCGATTTTTACTTATAGTCGATAGCTTAAAGAGTTATAGCGCTATAGCACGTATTTTTTTTTACAGAATAGCACCATAAATCATCTATTTATTAATATTGTACTAAACAAGACTGTAATTCGGTTTTTAATGTTTAAGTTGAAGACGAAGATGCAGCATATAAGGACGACTCGGAAGACTTTATAGACTCTCTAATGAAGTGTTGCACCCAATAAATTCAATTTGCTGTCAGTTTTTTCAAATCACAACATTAATTCTATTTTAAATGCGGATAAAGCACATTTTTTTAAATGTTGTTTTTTCTCAGCCCTATAACTCGCTTACAGTTAGTCCTACAACAAAAATGCAAAAGACCATTTTTGTAGAAAATTTTGTAAGCTTTAATCTTGATAAGAAGGTAAAAACCGATACAAGTGATCGTTTCCGAGATATAAGCAAAAAAACAAAAAAAGACACCTTTAGCCCCTTCCCCCTCCTCGAGCTCGGCCACCACCTTGGGAACTTTTAATGTTCGGTCCAAGTCGCCCCGGCTGATAACACCTAAACTTACTTCTTTTTTTCAACCAGTAAATATTTAAAGAATAATATTCATTCTTGGCTTTCTTAGTAAGTGTATCAAATTTTTTTAGCACATCCGGTGTTGCCGGAAATGCTACCAAATTTAGTTTTTCAAATGAACACCTGTGTTTTTTTTTCTTCCAAACAATAATAATTAACATGAAAAATACTGTAAACCACTATTTATTACATTTTGCGTAACACAATGCAATCAAAAAACATTTTAAATCTTAGACTTTTATAAAGAAATTCGTCGCGTAGCCTGATTTTTAATTTTAAAGGAAAGGTGGGAATAAAAAAATGCTTGGATAGTTAAATTACTGGTTTGACAAATCTAATTTGGATTTTCTTCGACTGATAACAGAACATTCAGATTTCTATTTTCTTGTTCTTCACAAAAAAACACAGATTTTTTTATTTTTAAGAAGCGAACCTCTCAGTTGTTTTTCAATTCGACTAAATTTCCAACGATTTGGCTGAACTCTATTTGAGTATTTTTCTCTATTTTTTTTGTTCTTGTTCTTCACTAAGAACCACAGGTTTTTTAGTTTTAAGAAGCGAACCTCTCAATTGTTTTTCAATTCGACTAAATTTCCAACGATTTGGGTGAACTCTATTTGGATATTTTTGTCTATACTGTCTTTCAGCTTCCGCTCTATTTTTATTGCACTTAAAAACACTTCAAGCTAATCTATCAATTCGTCGTAATTATTATCATCCATTATTAAAGATCTCAATAAGATTTATTGACAAATTAGGCTTTGTCAAACTAACAATTAAACGGTATCCAAGCATATTGCTTTTTACATGAATACCTTGACAAGTAAAATCCGCCTACGTTGCAAAATTTGCAATAAAATTCAAAAATTTAAATTGTTTTGTGAGTGCATTATGTAAAGGAAAAGGTAATAAATAGTGGTTTACCGTATTTTTCATGTCAATTATTATTGTTTCGAGCAAAAAAACATAGGTGTTCCATTTGAAAAACTAAATTTGGTAGCATTTCCGGCTACATCGGATGTGCCAAAAAAATTTGATGCATTTACTAAGAAAGCGAGAAATGAATAGTATTATTTGAAAATTTAGTTTATGAAAATAAAAAGTAAGTTTAGGTTTTATAGGCCGGGGCGACTTGGACCGAACACCCTGTATGTCTACCCAAGTGTAAAGAACGCGTTTAAAAAAAAATCCAACTAGGATTTTTTTCCACCGATCGCCCTATTTTTGTCTAATTTGACTGGGCTATGAATTGTAATAAAGAATGTTTTGTGTCTAGTTCAACGAATCCTTTGTCTGCCGACGCACCCGATTTGACGAATTTCACTTCAGTTGAAGAGTGGCTGAATTCGATCAAAATGGCACGATATTTGGAAAACTTCCACGCCGGAGGGGTTAATACCATGGATGCCGTCGTGAATTTGACGGTGAAAGAGTTAACCGAATTAGGGATAACGCTTGTAGGACATCAGAAGAAAATTATGAACAGTGTACAGAATATTCGGGCGCAGATTAGAGTCAACGGATCTGAAGGTTTTCTAGTGTGAACAACAACACAGTGACTAAGTGATTTTGTGGCAGCTTGCACGTACGTTATTTATTGACAAATCAAAAATAATGTTATATTGTGATTTTTTTACGTAATATTTTTTGTACAAATTTTTATATTTTCAACGGTACTATAAGTTTGATTCAAAACAACAAAAGAAGGGACAACACCAAGCGTTTTATTAACTGAATCAAAAGTATACATATAGACGATATATTTTCTACATATCAGTTTTATTAATTTATTTAATTCGTGTTTCTTTAGGTAATATTATTAAATGTAAAAAATGTCCGTAGCTTAAATCCGTATTAAGACTGTTGTCTCATAATTCTAAAAATTATCTCAAAACAAAAAGGGGAATAGCAATAATATAAATGTTTTGCTAAAGTTGTTCGTTTTTTAACTACAGGAATAGGAAAATTAAGACGTACTTAATAATTTTTTATACTGCTCAAAATATTTCATATAAAAGTCGCCTAGAATTATCGTTTTATTTTTTTTATTTATTACATACAGAATGTGCCAAAGCATCTTGTTCTATTTTATTTGATGGGACATTCTGTAATTCTAAACTTAATTTTTAACTCATTGACTGATAATTTGTCTTAAGATAGGTCTGTTCGAGTATATTTATTATAGAAATAATCCAACTATGTAACTGTTTACATTCCATTTTTGTACATTTTTTTTAGACAATAACGAAAACCACACAGGATACCAAGGCTTTAAGTTTTCATTTCCATTCAGCGCGATTATTATTTCATCTAATGCCTAAATGTGTGTATGTGATGCGAAAGTTGATGGTTCAATTTGTCGTAACTTTTTATTTAAGACGTTATCAAATTTAATATTTCTATATTAATCTGTCATTGTAAAATTGTAATATATTTGTAATATATCTATAAGTTCATTATAAAACGGACTAAACATCTCTCCCATCGTCCTCAAATAAATATAGAAATTTCTATTAAAATAGCTTTATTCTCATACAAAATAATCGTCTTCATACAAAAATACCTAACATCTCATTTTTTCTCTTCTTCTTTGTTACTAACCTCCAACTTGTCCAACTTTGTTGTAACGTCCTCAGTGTTGGCACTACTGGACTTGGGGGGGCATATGAGTTCACTACATTCGCTCTCCTTCAATATTTTCTTGGCCTCCTCAAATTTACTCTTGAAAGTGTCCGCATCTGAAAGGATATTTTTAATTCATGATCAAGTGACAATATAGCCAACTTAATTTCAAATCAGAAATACATACCTGGGCGGAGCCTAATTGCGCACAAACTTGAGAGGGGGAAAAAGTAACTTTGCTAAATGAAATTGGGGTCCGTTACACTATTTCCAATTACTGTTTTTTTTTTCTTTTGCAAAGTTTAGACTTAGTAAAACAATTATGAACAATAGTTTAGTATTTTGAACCAATTATTTTATTTTTTGTTAATAAATACTTTAACTGTGAGAATAAAGCAAATCTGTACGGCACTGGCTTATGTCAACTTAATGTGTACTTTTGGCTTTTACCCCACTCTACTTCCGAATTGTAGAAGAAATACATCGGTAGAAAGAGACGGAACTATTTTTTCCATTGGGTGCACATTGTTTGTCTCTATTTGCTGATGTACTTCTTATGTTCGCCAAATTGTGCCCCAACTTCCGAAAGTGAAAATCCCCAGATTTTGAAAACTTACTATCAACACTGCCGAATTTGATGGCAAAGCACTCCCTTTTGGCCTCCTCGTCCGCGAAATCGGCCGCCGCCGTGTAAATAAAGGCCTTCTCAGTGCCCTTGCAGGGCTCCAGGGTCATCCACGGGGTGATAAAGTGGTTGGCACAAACCTTGAACGTTTTATCACGCCTCATTACGATTCGTACCGAATTTCTCTCTTTGTGTTGCAGGATTTTCATCTCGCCGGTGCCCCTTTCCTTCCACTCAGGGGGCTTACTTGACTTGTCAAAACGGTATAATTTAGCGCGCAGTTTTAGCAATACAATTTCATTTTCCTCATTTGTGCGAATTTCAACCTCGGGTAGAGTCACGATGGGCTTAAACTGGGGGTCAAGTTCGGTGTCGGAACTTTCGCTAAGACTGCGATTTTTCGCTTCCGTATCCTGAAAGGCAATGTTCAATTGTTCACTCCGTGATTAATTCGTGTGCGAATACTTACAATAATGACGGACATTTCGTACAAAACCGGCTTTTTAACCACGAAAAACCAACGACTTTTGTTGTGTTGAATTCAACAAGAAACGTCAAAATGAAACGGCCAATGACAAGGCGGGGATTTTTTGACAGAAAGGCGCGCAAATTCAAACACAATTTGTGGAAATTGTTTATTTTTTAATTACAATTCATCTTTGGGTAATGAAAATGAGCGTAAAATGTTCAGTCTGTTGGCCAACTCGACTTTCTTCTTGTCGTTCACTTTGCCTTGTTTGAGAATTTTGTTCAAACGTCCCAATTCGTGGTTGACGAAGTCCAATCCAGATTCGACGATTTTCGACATGAATTTAACGTAAATGGAGGCCGTTTCCTTCTCGTTGTCTTTCAATTCGGCGACTTTCGCTTGCGTTTCTTCCAGTTTCTTCTGTTTGTTCCCCGAATTGACGAATTCCATCGCCAGTTTATCGAATTTTTCCAAACAACCGGGAAGTCCGATATAAATGTCGGTGTTGTCTTTTATGAGATTTCTCAGGTTGTCCACCGTCCATTCTGCGCTTTTTGCTAATTCTACCGGTGATTTACCCTTGACGAAGAGCCGAATCGCCGGCAAATCGTCTTTCCCAACCCCAAATTTGAGTGCCAATTTCTCGTTTTCCTTGTCACCGTAATCCTTAACACCGACTTCAGCCAAAATCAGTTTCTCATTTTGGGCTAGTTCTTCGGCGAGTTTTGTAAAAACATCGTGTTTTTCACCGTAGGGGTAAGCCACATCGAATTTCACCAAAACCGCTTCAAATCTCGAAATAATCTTATCGAAATTGTATTCGTCCAACGAAACGCAGCCTTTGCAGCCGTTTGCAGATCGCGTAAAACTAAACAGAAGCAAAATTGAGCCTAGAATGTAACTCGAATACATTTTCAACTTAACTGAGCGCTTTTATTCGCATCTATGATTAGGTGTGATAACAAACAAATGAAACAAAACACAAACCTGCGACACGTCAAACTCAAACTTCATTTGTTTCACCTGGCCTCTCGTCATTGGCTAAATTGGACAAAAAATAATTGAAAAGTGGAGCGAGGAGCGACTAGGGAATTTTGAGATGGAAAGAAAAGGTTGGCACTATGAGTGGTGCGAAATTTAAAACACTCCTTATATACAAACACAAGCGGTTTTTTTGTTCAATTTTTTGTGCCTCTGACTGATTTTTTGTTCAATTTTTCGTGACCACTAGCAACTTTTAGCTCTATTTCTTTTTATTAAAATTTTTTTAAGAATTTTAAAAGCAAACCTAAGTTTCTAATGATTAATAAATTTTTAATAAAAATCACCAACGGTTTTTTGTTCCTGTGGCCAATTTTTTGCTCAATTTTTTGTTACCAGTAGCAGTTTTTTGTTCTATTTTTTGTTACTACAAATTTTTAAAAATATTTTTAAAATTTCATCAATAAGCTTCTTTCTGATGATTACCAAATTTCTAGCAAAACACGCAAACGGTTTTTTGTTAATTTTTTTCTTAAAGTTGCCGATTTTTTGGCTCCATTTTTTGTTACCACAAGCAATTTTTAAAATGCAATCTAACCTTCTGATACCAAATTTTTAACAAAGATCATAGGCGGTTTTTTGTTCAATTTTTTGTTCCTGTGGCCGATTTTTTGCTCTATTTTTTGTGAACAGTAGCAATTTCTTGTTCTTTTTTTGTTACTTCAAAATTTTTAGAAATACTTTTAAAAGCCACTCTAAACTCCTAATGCTTAACAAATTTTTAACAAAGATCACAGGCGGATTTTTTATACCATTTTTTGTCCCTATGGTCAATTTTTTGCTCTACTTTTTGTTACCATCAGCAATTTTTTGTTCTATTTTTTGTTACTACAAAATTTTAAAAAATATTTTTTAGCTTCTGATACTTACCAAATTTTTAACAAAAGTCTCAAACGGTTTTTTGTTTAGTTTTTTGTTCCAGTAGCCAATTTTTCGCTCCATTTTTACTTACCAGTAGCAATTTTTTGTCCTATTTTTTCTTACTACAAAATATTTTTAAAAGCCAATCTATGCTCCTAATGCTTAACAAATTTTTAACAAAGGTAACTGCCGTTTTTTGCTCCATTTTTTGTTATCAGTAGCAATTTTTTGTTGTATTTTTTGTTACTAAAAAATTTTTAAAAGCCAACCTAAGCTCCTAATGCTTGACAAGTTTATAACAAAAATCATAAACGGTTTTTTGTTCAGTTTTTTGTTCTTGTGGCCGATTTTTTGTTCAATTTTTTGTTCCTGTGGCCAATTTTTTGCTCCATTTTTTGCTACCACAACCAAATAAAAAGGGTTTATAGTAGAAATGATTAGAAATAAAAAGAACTGAACTCGAAAAGTAAAAGATTTATTATTTAAAACAAGTAAAAACATAAAAAAAATAAAACATTGATACTATAAATCATGGAACAAGTTAACATAATGAAGCAGCTTTATTGTTGAACAATAATGTCCTATGTCCTGCCATTGTTGTCCAACACCCATGAACCAGCAGGAGAAGTTAAACATGCAGCGAGGTTACACTTTGAAAATTTCAAAATTTGGCGCTAGTCTCTAGGTCAAGTTTAAACTCGGAAATTCCTACTACATAACAAAATAAATGCTCATGTTTGTAAACAGGTTTGTAAAGATCAGTCTAATCGTCTTATCCGTTCAGTTGCGAGTCCTTTACCGTCGAAACTGTTCGTTACTGCCTTCAATTGTGTTTAAAACTGAACAATAACGAAGACAATTTCAAAGAAAATCGCCATAATTAAGGTAAGTAAGCAATGAAAATAAATTACCTTGGCTTTAGTATCGGAAAATACCGTAAAACAAGTTTGATGAACAATCCAACGCATTAATAGAATTAATTATAATTGCTAATTAGCTATTGCCGTTACATTGTTATACGATTTCAACCAAAATAATTTCCCCAGAATTTCATCTCTTCTTAGAAGCACAAAAATTCTTGAAAATATTTTCCTCTTGATAACATTTCGATGAGGTCAATCACTAATTACCCAAACGACACAATTATGACGCACGTGTAATTAAAACGAAAAACACTAGTTTTCAACCGGAAGTTACAACTGAGCATCACTGATTAATATTTTAATAACTACTTTTTTCCACCTTCAAACTCGTTTTGATTCAAAACAGACAAAAAATTTCGAGGTTTCTCAATTTCCAGCTCGACGACGATGTTAAAACTGATCTCAATCATCGCCCTTTTCGTCCACCACGTCCACAGTCAGAACCCTTCACCCTGTCCCGAAATCTTCTCCTACGAGCCCCCTGGCCAGGAGGAAGACCGCTGGTACGGCGTCATCTCCCTCCGAACGGACGAAGACCTCGACGGGGTGTGGCTCAAAATCACCCTTGACCGCCCCGCCGAACTCTTAGGGGTACTAATCTCAACCACACTTTTTTTCATTAAAGAAAACAAATTTTCCAGAACTGGTTCGGCGAAGCTCACTCGAGTGATAATCAAGAATTCACGATAAGAAATCCAAGATATAAGTTAGAGGCCGGGCCTCCGGTTTCCGTACGTTTCTTTGTAAAATACAACGCCGCTTCGACAATTCCTAGTCTCAAAGTCATAAAATTGAACGGGAAAACGATTTGTACGAATAGTAGGGAAGATACCGTTTCCACCACCCCACAATTGCACATCAGTCAAATCCGACCTGTGACTAGTAGACCGAGTAGACCGAATAATAGACCGGCGAGTAGTAATGAAGGGGCGTTTTTAAACACGAAACCTAGTAGTTCAGGAAGCCATGGGGGGTCCTCGCAAGAAAGACCAGACAGCTACGACAATCACCAGTAAGACATGATATATTTTTTTTTTGAGTACAACACGGGTTTTTCGAGAAACAATTGGATTTTATCTTATTTAAAAAATTTGAACTGCAACCAGTAATACATTTGCATAGGCTTCATGGATTTTGATTATGAATTTTTAAATTAATAAAACATAGTTATCGCGTGACTGACACAAAAAATTGACAAGACAGGAAACACAATTTTTAAGGTTATTTGTCTATCTACCATTGGAAAACACTTTAATGATTCACACCTTTTTGGAGCTTTTCTATTCAGGAAACATTGTCTTTGCAAAGGCAGAAGCATTTTTCCCAAATTCGCCATAAATGAGAATCATCTGTTTTCTCATTGATCGAATGCATTTTGACTTTTTGTTAAATTTAATGTCAGTTGTGACAAATAAAATTATTGGAAGCAAAGCTATCGTGGATTCATAATCGGGTTTTCAAACAATGCGATATACAGGGTGCGCCAGAACTCGCGTCCCAGAGGTAAATGCTATGTAAGGTAAAATACCAGGAACATGGAAAAAATGTTAAAAAAATTTTATCTATAAAAATTTCGAAGTTATGAGGGTTTAAAGTTTGCACTATGACTCTATTTATTTCTGTTGGAAAAATAATTTTTCAAGTTTTTTTGCTACAGGCTATTAAAAGAGGAAACAAGGAAGCTGTATCCTAAATTGTAACTCTGTTCAATGTTATTTGTGGCTTTTATTGGCAAAATTTTTGTCCCTTTACTAAATAATTGTAAAAAAACATATACAAGATCATTAGCCTCATTAAATAGATATAAAAAAATGTCAAATGTCAAAAAATAAATGTCAAAATTTTTTGACAGATAGAATTTTTTCAATATTTTTTTCATGTTCCTGGTATCTCACCTTACTTGAAAATTTTCTCTGGGGCGCGAGTTCTGGCGCACCCTGTATGTATTGTAGGTTGTATTTTCAATTCCGTAAGGCTCATTATCACTCGTGAAATACCCTGTACATACAATGTCCCATTTTTGAAAAAAAGGAAAGCTTTGCTATTACCTAGAAAATAACGTAATAGTAGTATATTATAACCTAGGTGAGAAATATTTCATTCCTTCCATTAGATTGAAGTACAACGTATTTCAAAATGATTTTCGTCTAGTAAGCTCATGGATTTTCTATATAAAATAAAAAAAGCGCTTTAAAGAAATATCTAATTAACCTCAAAAGTGATTTATTTAGATTGACAGCTGACATTGTTGACAGAAAAAATTGCATGTAAAGTTTCATCAGCGACTTAGATGAAAATAATTTTGAAACACACTGTATACTCGCGCCCCAGAGGTAAGGTAAGATACCAGAAACATGGAAAAAATGTTATAAAATTCTATCCATACAAATTTTGAATTTAGGAGAGTTTAAACTTTGCACTTTGACTCTATTTATTTGTGTTGAAAAAATCATTTTCCAAGTTTTTTTGCTACAGGCTATACAGCTATATCCTAAACTTAACTCTGTTCAATGTTATTTGTGGCTTTTATAGACAAAATTTTTGTACTTTTACTAAATAATTATAAAAAAAACATATACAAGAATGTCAAAAAATAAATGTCAAAATTTTTTGACAGATAGAATTTTTTCCTCATAACTTTACTTTAATTTTTTCTCTGGGGCGCGAGCTCTGATCCCTTGTATATGTTATACAATGTCCCATTCTTGAAAAAAAGGAATGTTTTGCTATTACTTAAAAATAGCGTAATAGTATATTATAACCGAAATGGGAAATATTTCATTACTTTCATTAGATTGAAGTACAACGTGTTTATGGATTTTCCATGTAAAATAATAAAATGCGGCTCTAAAAAAATATGAATCCAATTGATCTCAAATGTTATTCATTTAGATTGACAGCTGACACTGTTGACAGAAAAATTTACACGTAAAGAAATTCTATCAGGGGCTTAGATGAAAATCATTTTGAAACACATTATACAGGATGTTCCGTTTTTATTGTTACAAACTTAAACAGGTGATAGAATATTCAATTTTAAGACAAAAGTTTCCTATGAACATGTATCAAAAAATGTTACGTAAGCGAGCTACACCCTCTGAAAGAGATGCGTTTTTAATGGGGTTTTCCCACTATTGCAGAATAGATAAAATTACAACTGTTGACACAGCTAATTACTTTTAAACATCTGAACGAATTTAAAGATCATTTGTCGAAATTTTTAATCACGGGTCTCTTAAACGGTGAAACAAATTTAATTTTTAATTTTTATCCTTTTTATGGTGTGTGAGACAAATTGTAAACTGATTTTACTCAAAAACGGTAAGTTTTATCGAAAAAAACGTAAGAGAGCTCTTTTTTGTGAAAAATTATGAAATTTAGAATTTTATGGCTGAAAGTGGCAAAAACCACGCCAAAATAGTTAGAGTACTTTTTCCCTACACGCCCGCAGTTTAGAACGCCCCTGAGTAAAAATTTCGACATTTTATCTTTGAAATTCATTTGGGTGTATAAAGGTTATCAGTTGTACCAAATTTTGTAATTTGATCTACGATAGTTTCTGAAATATTGGAAAAAATCCATTAGAAGATGCACCCCTTTCAGGGGATGTGGCTTCCTTATATAACATTTTTAGATATATGTTTATATGAAACTTTTATCTTAAAATTAAATATTCTATCACCTGGTTAAGTTTGTAACAATAAAAATGGAACACCTGTATACAGGGTGTTTACAGTCTTGGAGTCGAAATTTGACCTAATAATAGAGGAGTACAGAAATACTGTAACCGAGAATAAAACTCACATAATTGTTATTATCAAGAATGTTATTTAACTCCAAAATATTGGTACACGGTTTGAGGGTCACTGGAATTATTTCCTTGTTCAGATAAAATTGTATTGTTGCAACAGATAAAAAATCGTATCCATGACAATGAAAGAGAAAAGTCACTTCATAGTTTTAACACTGTCATCATTTGATTTGCTTTTGCTTTAGTTTTTATCAAAATTCGAAGATCTTCTGTTTAATCTCTTTCAGCGAATGGTTTCCAATAGGTTTGATTCGTTTTTCTTAATTTTTCTCCAGATTTATGAACATAAAATATTAAAATAATCAATTGGTTGTCGTGATTATGATTTACGGTGAAACACAAGGTAATGATACTAATGGCCATTGTTGCAGCCGAAGCAGCAGTTCTCAAACAAATTGTGTAAAATGAATAATTTTCTTTAACAACGTGAATTTTTGTTGTTGTTTTGTTGTTGCATTAGTCTTCTTCTACCGTAAATATCCTCTCATTTAAATTTCAACCTCAAGACCGTAAACACTCTGTATAATGTGAAAAAAAAAGGAAAATTTTGCTGTTAGAGTAGGGTAAAAGTTAGAAGTACATACATAGGCGGGTATGCTTTCAAATGGTCTTCCCTTTATTTTAGTTCTTTCTCAAATATTGCAATAATAAAGCGAATCTACACGAAACGGCTAATGTAATAGTATTTTATAACCGAGTTGGGAAACAACAATGTCGCATTTTTGAAGAAAAGTAAAGTTTTGCAGCGGACATAAATAAATAGGACAAGTCAAAAATTCAAGTGATAATTTTTCTATAAAATTTAGTTACATAATTTTATTAAGGGCCAGTTTCATAATTGAAATAAAGTGTCTTTTAAAGTCTCTTTAATTCGATTATGAAATTGGTCCTAAATCTTTATCTAAATTAAATTATTCTGTTTTTGTTGCACAATTCTGTCCTATTTTTATGTCCACTACTGGACATAGAAAATAAGGCCATAGTATATTATACCCCGAGAAAGGAAATATTTCATTACTCCAACGAGTTAGGTTATCTGTCCGACTAGGTTACGTGGAGCCTTGGAATGTAATGATGAACTTTCCACCAAAAATTCTTTGCTATTTTATTCACAATCACATATTGTTTAATTAAAAAAATATCTCTCTTTTAGATAGAAATTTTGTTCACTAAACTCGCAAAATTCAGTATCACTATCTAGTACACTGTTTTTGGTTGAATTAACACAATATCTAGTAAATTTTACAATTAGGAGTTGGTACATTTTTGTACCAATAATAGCCTCTGAAAATTATTTATTACAAGTAATGAAAAGAAGTAAATTGATACGAATTTATTGCTGGTGATTTTTATCATTAAAAAATTTTTTTATAGAGGCTGCTTCAGTTTTATTGTTACAAATTTAAACAGGTGATAGAATATTCAATTTAAGACAAAAGCTTCAGCTTGATTAAAAATTCAACATTTGATCGTTGATTTCGTTTAACCAAAATGTGCTGAAACATGCTTTATAAATAGTTATATTTTTGTAGACCGCTACTTTTTTTTTAAGAATATTAGAAAATGTTATTTATATGGGTATCCATGATTAAAAAAACAACTAAAAATTCCATTCCAACAATCCAGAGGTTTCCAAAAATAATTCAATTAAAATCAATGAAAGATTCTAGAAGCTTGGAATTTTTTTAAATTAATCATAATTGGTTTTTAATGATTTTTTAAATATGTAGGCAGTTATCCATCCATGTAAATTAATTATTAAAATCAGCTACCAAATATAATAACATAAAAAAATCTTCAGGACGAATAATTACAATTCTCAAAGCACCACCACCAGTAACTACAACAACAACAACAACAACAGGTAAATGATAACACATAAAAATAGCCCCAAATTAGAAAAAAAAAATTATAGACGTCCCGGGAGCCAATCGAACTCAATCAGCAGTAACAATCACCGGTAATTTTCGAAATTTTCGCGTTAAAAAAAGTGCCAAAACTGTAATTTTCAGCGAGCACGAATCGTCGATTAACTCAGGTAGGAATTCCAACGGCTTATCAGCCGCCGAGGAAACGACCCACTCTGACTTCTTCCCAGGTGACTTCGCGGTCCACCGTCCGAGTCAAGCTCGCCCCCCTTCGAAACCGTCCACAGTGAGCAAAAGGAACGTCGGATGTGGAACAATCGCTATGAAAGCAAGTCCTTTAATTTCATACGGCCAAAACACAACTCAAGGTATCAACCACCAAAAAAAAAAATTCAAAATTAAGTACCAAAATTGCAGGACAGTGGCCATGGCACGCCGCATTGTACCACATCCAGGGGGCACAATTGCTGTACACATGTGGGGGCACTCTCATCTCCGAAAATCACGTCTTAACAGCTGCACATTGCGTCGCGAAGCCCCAAACCAACCGACCGATCGAAACCAAAGACCTTTCAGTTTATTTAGGGAAATATCATTTGAAAAAATTCGGCGATGGAACGCAAGATAGAGATGTGACAGACATTTTCATACATCCACACTACAATTACAGCGTTTATTTTAATGATATTGCAGTGCTGAAGCTGAAAACGCCGGCTGATGTCACGAATTATGTCCGACCTTGCTGTTTGTGGGAAGATGGGACTGATATTGAATACGTCCTCAACAAATTAGGTGCGTATACGCGAAAATCTCACATTTATATACACAATACATACTAATATCAGGGAAATTGCACTCTTTTTACTAAATTTTTAGTTGAAGACTGTCAAAATGATTATGAATACCAACCTGTAAAAAAATAAAAAAGTTTCCAGACGTGAATAATACAGTGCGATCAAAAAGTCTCTCTATCAAGTAGGTGTACTAGTTGAGGATGTATGTCGCCTAGCAGTTCGTACATAGGTACCTATGTCAGCTAGATAGCAAAAATGACTGCATGGAACGTCTTAAAACATCCTACAATAAGATGTAGTTGGTGTTTATTCAGAAAAATCGTTCACCACAATTGACTGTTACAGTTTACATAAAAATTATTTTGACAATTCTTATTTGTCATTGTGACATTTTATCTTCCGCAGACACACGTTTTAAACTTCTAGGCTTACTTGATAGACAGACTTTTTGATCGCACTGTACATACAAATCAAAGCAAGTTGGGCGGAAAATGCAATTCAGATTTTAAATTAGCACAATTTTAGGTGGACTTTGAGTAAAAAAGTTTTGTCAATTTTTGTAAATATCAACACCAACCTTTAAAAAACTATTTAGGAGCATTCCACAAACGTAAATATTTTAGATTGCTATTTGCAATTATGTAAATTTATAACGATATAATCATGGATAGGTGAAATTAAGGTTGGAAAATTTAAATCACAAAGCTTCATAAATCACTTTCCTCGGAAAAGTAATAATTTACGTTTTATTAAGGCTTAAAATTTAAACCTATTTAGCAATATATTTTCTCTAGTTCTATGACAACTATCAACAGTGTTGCCAACTTGAAACAAATAAATTCACCAGATGTCAGCTGAAAAGTTACCAGATTTACACATATTTCACCAGATTACAAGATTGTGATTTAATTTTTTTTTAATACTGTCGAAGATTCACGTTTTTTTAACATAAATCTCGCAAATCTGCTCAAAAACATCCTTAAACGCTCGAAAAATTTAAAAATAGGTAACGCTATTTCATCTAGTCTAATTCTATAATTTTTTGGCTAGTTTTTAATTAAATTTTGTGACATACCGGATCTATTGGCAACACTGAATTAGTGATAATCCTTCTAAATTTCTTATATCAGAATGTTTCAGGTGACGGCTAAATCAACAGTCGCCCGTCGCCAATGAATGACAATTGCCTATAAAAGTTTGACATTTGAATTTGAAAGTCAAGGTTGCCAAATTGAATTTTAAATTTGACACCAAATCATTTAGTCACCCTAAATTTACGTTTTTACTTGAAAAACATGCGAAAACACTTGATAAAGGCAAAAATAATGACTTAATTTGATGTTGTTTGGTTCGTTTTAACAAAATCTTGCAATTAACACCATTTTCGGCCATATTTTGTATTTTCCGTCCAATTTTTTTGACAAAATTTTACTCAAAAAGAGCTAAATCGAATGAAACAGACAAAATAACATCAATTTAGATTTATTTTCGTTGTGTTTATGCATGTTTTGACAATATCCTCTGGTTCAAAAACGAACTTTAACGAAATTTTGTAAAATGGTTCTGTCTCTGGCTAAAAACAAAGTAAAACGCTCAGAAATTGACAAAATAATGTGCTTGTTCACCAATTTTAGCGATTTTTTTATCTTGTTGAGTGAAATATCATTTAGAAAAACAGAACTATCTCTCGATTTTTCAACTTGTTTTGAGAAAATTTAGCATTTGAGTTTCTGCATGGCTAAAAAGACGTGCAAAATTGCTCAAAAAAATACCAAAAAAAAATCATTTTTGACTGAATTTACAATATCAATAATTAAAAAATCAAATTAAAAAAGTTAATTTTACTAACATTTGGGTAAATAAAAAATATTTCAAAATACATAATTTTTGCTGAAACTACAGTCACGATTCTCAAAAATCATCAGAAATTAGAATTTTACAAAAGTTTTCACCAAATCATTATTCTAATATAAAAATCACCAGACCTGGCAACACTGACTATCAATTGGAGAAAATTGACAGCCCGCCAAATTCAAATGGCTCGATGTTTAACGAATTTTTGATTTTTTAGGGACGGTAGTTGGCTGGGGCTTTGACGAAAAGCGCCAAATCTCCGATACTTTGATGCAGGCCCAAATGCCGGTCGTTTCCACCGTCAGTTGTATTTATTCCAATCGCGAGTTTTTCTCACAGTTCACTTTCGAAAAGACCTATTGTGCCGGTTTCCGTAACGGTAAAATTCCTTACCCTTTTCACTTGAAATGATAAAAATAACAGAGGATTCAGGTACAACTGTCTGCAACGGCGACTCCGGAGGTGGTATGGTGTTCCCCAAATCCGGGACGAGTGGTCACAATACCGTGTGGCAGATCCGGGGAATTGTCTCAGTTGGAGTGGCTCTTCAAGGACAGGGAGTTTGTGATCCACGACATTATATCGTCTTTACGGACGTTGCCAAACATCTAGACTGGATTAAACAAGTCATGAGGGAATAAAAATACCATCTTTTTGTTGTAATACTCATATTGTGATATATTGTCTAAATAAACTACTTTTTATAACCGAGAGTAATTCATTTATCAAAAATAACACTTTTTTTTATTTTATCAGCTATAATAAACAAAACTTTAAATTTATAGCGTTAAATTCAAAAACAATACTTTTAATGTTAATCTTATAATCAAATTAATAAGATACAAATTGTTGGTCCACGTTCTTATTTAATCAATTCTCAGTATTTTGATAATAGTATGCAAGCATCCTAAAATTATGAGTGCAAAAATATGAAAATCGACGTTATCGTTTTTAATGTTAAAACAAATTGTATGTTCGCAAATTTAGTTTTATAACAATCTGGAATTAGAAATAAAAAGTTTATTCACAATCATAAACTAAAATCAATCTCGGTATGTAATCTACTATAGTCATAATTTGAAAATAAAAATCTGTAAGTACTACAAAACGAAAATATGTTACCAATTTAAAACCGTTTTAGATGTATGAATTTGATAAATATTAGAGAAAAATGTTATTTGTTGTTAGGATTTACCCACAATTTGTAAGAAAACCCTTGAGCACTAAAAAGTGTTCTTAATTAGTCTTGTGGACATTTTGAGTTATTTAACCCAAAATTTATTTAGTTTTAAGTATCTTCTCTTCTTGGTTGTCGTGTATTTTATTATATTCGAATTCAGATGTGTTAATAAATTTTACCAACTGTTTAGTATAAAAAAGCCCCACACCAAATTTCGCTAAAAGGCGAAACAAAAGCCAGAATTCTAAAATTTTAGGAACCCAAGATGGAATACTTCCACTTGTCATTCCTCTTGGTTCATACAAAAACTCAATTCATTTCCCCATATCCTAAATGGTTCCAATATGAAACCCAAGGATCAGAAAATGACTGATGGTATGGCGTGGGGTCATTTCTGAGCGAAACTAATTCTTTGAACTTAAAATCCATAAAAATCACTCGTAGAATCGGTTTCGGCGAAGTCGTTACAACAGACCACAAAGAATACTTAATTCAAAAAAAAACCAACCATAAATTAGTCGCAAATACACCGTACAAACTCAGATTATGCCTAAAATCCTAAAATATAATCAGTGTTTCGCGGCGGAGACAACGATAGGGAAGAGGTAAATGAAAATTCCTACCTTTGAGTGCTCCCACGTAGAATCCAACCAAAAGGATGAGGTAGGAAAATAGGAAAGGAAGGGAAAGAGGTTGGGATGATAGGAATCTTCACTAATTCTTTAAAATCTGCGGTTCTGCTGAGCAATTTCCAATATTATCACTTTCTAGTTTCAAGACGAGTGATTCCAACAAATACAAATAATTCACACGAAAAAACCAAACATAAACCGAAACCTTGTTTTTTAACATAAAACATTTTGTTTTTCTTAACAACCGAAACTAGGGCCGAATGTCAACGCTCTCTTTAAATTAACTAAATACAAATTATAAATTATTATGAGAAAATAAGGACGCGACAATCAGTAAAATTGGCAAAAAAAAACAACATTTTTTGTATTATAAATTTTTTTGTAAAACGCGCTTTATGTATTTTTTTTTCAAAAATTGTCACAATTAATAAGAATACCAACCTTTAAAAAATTAAAGAGTATTATATTGACAATCTACGTTTTGTTATTTCTACAAAGTGGTTATAATTGATTTAAAATGCCGCTTTACGAAAATAGGGGTACCTACTTGTTGTAACTCAAAATTAAAAAATCGCCGTTTATTAAGCCTCCACTTCGAAAATAGACTTCAATTATAAACTTGTTTTATTCCAAAGTATACATTATTATCAATTATTATTGGAAATTAGTTGAAACAATAAAAGTTTAATTAACAACAATTTATTATTAATAGATGTGACACTAATGACAGAACTAGAGCTTTCAAAAAAGTAGAGCGGCACAAATAAAGTTACATGCAAATAAATTCCAAAGCTGGCTAGATGAAAATCATTTAATAATAAAGATCACCCGGAAGTTTAAACAGTAGATATATAGAAATTACCACCTAGGATTTGAACTTTTAGGAAAATTACGTTTTTCATGTTGTTTGTAACTAGAAATTTCAGAAGTAATTTTGAATGCTTAGGGTTGGTTACCCCTTGTAGTTGACGGTTGTTGTTTTCTGTCAACCTGCTGTTAACTATCAATTGAATTATTCATACAAGGTGACAGGTGACTTAACCTAAATTTTGACACTAGTTGTTTGTCACCAGTAACCAACCTAACCAAATTTATAGCAACCTATTCACAAATATTCCGAAATCCTAGGGAGTAATTTCTTGTTGATACGACAATATGTATTATTCACGTCTGGAAACTTCTTTATTTTTTTACAAGTTGGTATTCATAATCATTTTGACAGTCTTCAATTAAAAATTTACTAAAAAGGGTGCAATGTGTTTTTCACCAAAAACCAACCTAACCATATTTATGGCAACCTATTCACGAAAATCCCTAAATCCTTGGGAGTAATTTCTTGTTGATACGCCAATAGATACTTGTTATGGAAATTGTTGACAATTGACCCCAATTACACCATAAAACTTTTCAAGAATAACACTTCCATGGCCCACTTATTTAGCTCGATTTTTATCAATCAGAGCCACGAGATTTCTATTAGTTCATAAAAAAACAATTATGAAAAGTGACTGATGAGTTGATGACAAATTATTAGGGAACAAGAAGACGTTTTTTGTACTATTCGTAATGTGCTATATTATCTAATTGAACTACTTTTTTATACAAATTAGTGTGAGTACACCCATCTACCCTTAAGTATGCGATTCATGAGGATTCGACGACCTGCAGGGGTAGACATCCGTTTTTTCCAACCGTGGCGTACAATTCGCCGCCTTTCGTTTGGCCGGGGGAAATGGTAACGAATAATTGTGCGGATTGAGGCCTCGTAGAGCCCCCCGATTTGACTACAAATTAATCATCTAGCAAATTTAACAGGAAACCTCCATACTTACATTTGAAACAATTTCGGAACGGCATTCAACAAAAACGACATGGTTTAGGTTATGACATAACCTCAAAATAACAAAAAAAAAACTAAAACTGTCGCACACTGCAACAACACTAGCACGAACTACTCTAATTTAATATCACACCTAAATTACCTAATTTTTTATTGTAATTAGCACAAAAATAAGCAAAATTTTACAAACGGACTCGAAATTTTGACAGTAATGTCAACTGTCAGAAAATTGCATCAAAAATTTCATAATTACAGATTTGTAAATCAAGCATAAATAAAAACAAATTTGAAATTATTCTACAGTCAGGATTACAACATCATTTCTTTCATTAATCATTATTATTTAAAAAAATAAACTTGGCATAACGTGTTAGGTTGGTAGCAGTAAACCCCCTAAACACGAGTATTGTAGTGGATTTTTGAAATTATTTTATTAAAATAAAACGTACTAAATAATACCTTATTCGCTTGAATCTTAAAAGTACTTGAAAAAGTAATTCAATTTGCTTATTTATAACTACACCAAAAATAATACAAAATTGTTTTTTTGGCGCCAAATTTAAAAATTATACGTGTTAAGTCTTTTAACTGTAACTTATAATGACCGTTATTGACCCATGACCATCAGCAATGGGGATTCCTACCTTGTCCTTGACTACAATCATTTGTAATTCACGCGAAACAGGTTTTCAAGATTTTACCACTGTCATAACAAAACAGATACCCAAACCTGAATTATTGCCATAGGTTCTGATGGTTCTTGTACATTTTATTGTTAGTATTGATTAGAAGACCGAAAACGTGTTTTTAGTGTTGACTATCATCCAAAAGTGAGTTTTTTTGAATGTGATAAAAGCAAAAATATTCTACAAAACCGCCTTGATATTTACGAATCCAGCAGTGCATGTTGTAAGTCGACTTTTATATCGAAAAAAACAAATTTCAAAAGAATGAATAATCGCTAAAAATATTTCCTATAAACACACGTAAAGGTCACCACAGGTAAAAAAAGTAAACATTTTAATTATTTGATTCTCAGAAAAGCCACAATTGTGAAATTTCAGGAATCCACGATGAAATATCTCCTCTTGTCGCTCCTCTTGGTCCAAGCAAGGACTCAATTCATCTCCCCATGTCCCAGACTGTTCCAATACGAACCCCAAGGATCGGAAAACGACCGATGGTACGGCACGGTCACACTTCTAAGCGAATCTGAATTATCAGGAGTTTGGTTACGATTAATTTTCGATAAACCATCAATCCAACTTGGAGTAAGCGAAAAAAACCAACTCAAAATCGCCAAAAACCACTTGTTTTGTAGAATTGGTTTGGGGAAGTCGTAACAACAGACAACAAAGAGTATTTAATTAAAAATCGTAACCACAAACTACTCGCAAACACACCGTACAAACTCAGATTTTATCTCAAATACAATCCGGGGGAAAACCCACCAAAATTGGTAATGTTCCGACTAAATGCGAGGGTAGTTTGCCCCGAAAATGGGGCCACTACCGAAGCGGCGGTCACAACAGGACAACTCATTACTAGTAGTTTAATTTCAACGACACGAAATCCTTTAGTAAATAACAACAACCAAGGAAGTACCACTTTGTAAGTTCAATAACAAAATTTTGAAATGACAAAATTGAATTTTGATTTAGTGTCAAACCTGGAGGGGCTTTTAACCACCAAATGAATTCGGGAGACGACGATGATTTTTTTCACGGAGACTTCGCTATTTTTCATAGACCCAATAAGCCATCGGTCGACCTGGGGGCTGCTTGTGGGACTGTAGTCGTGAGTAGTATTTAATCCTAATTTGGTATTAATTATTTATGTATTAAGGGAATAAACAACTATTTTAATCCCGAGAATGTAGGTAATGCCAGAGGCGACCAAAGTGAGCCGAGAGCGTTTTCATTCATTATTCGATAGATGCATACAAAACTTTCCTCCAAACAGACTAAATTAATAATAACGTAAGAAAATAATAAATTTGTCAAATCATGTCTAATAATTTCAGTTTATTCATTCGCAATTCTGAAAATAAAAATCCGTAGGTATCAAGAAGTTTGTTTATGTTAAAAAAAAACACTCAAAGATTCAATTCATTCAATTGTTTATTTTAATAGTAAAAAAGACTAAAATACCATATTAATAGTCTAAGACAACAGAATAAAGCATCAGTTTATTCCCTGTTGGGGGGTAAGTTTTTTTTAACATTGGTATCACTAGCAATTAGCTGTGATTTTTATCGTCAAGTGGGCGTCAAATTTAAAATCTTATGTTGGCAATTTTGACTCGTACATTCAAAGTCAAACGTTTAATGATTACCAATAATTCAATGTTGCCAATAGATATTTTTATCATAAATAAATATTGCTGTTCCATTGAACAATTACTAACACTCCGCGCTAAAAATAGTACCTACCGCGCCAAATTTGAATTTTTACTTGTAAATGTTTTACAAAAAAAAAAATAGTGTCGCAATTATCATAATATTTTGGTAATGCTTAGTCTTAATGGTAAGACTAGGGTGCAAGACAAATGACAACATAAGCTAAATTTTTCAGTTTATTTTCTGTAATTTAATTTTATTAATAATTTTTTGTTTCTGTATTTCTGATTTGCTGACATCTAAACAGCGAGCTGTAATCTAAATATACAAAGAAATTCATAAATATGAACCTCAAAAATGACCTAAAGATTGTATACTATTACCTCTATTATACTGTCCGATCAAAAAAATAGAGTAAAGTCCTTCAGATGGCAGTCCTGATTTTTGACAAAAATGTTAGCGGAATTCCCAGCCAATGTGTTGCCAACTGTAGAATATTAATCGTCGTCTACTCTAATTTATTTTTTTTGATCGCACGGTACTATTTATTACCTATTATTAAACAAAACTAAAAACGATTATTAACACTTAAGAAATCACCTTAAATCAAAATAATCAGAATTAAGAAATATTCCACACAACACGTTTTGAATTCAAATTTGACAGAAATGACAGTTTAGCAAAACATGACAGGAGGAATACAAGCGCGCGAAAGTTACCAACCTAACAGTAGGCAACAACCGGTCCTGAGATACGACTGTTTTAGTGATTTTAATGTTGTTAATATATTTTAAAAAATCCAATCAATCGAGAGAGAAAATCGAGTTACCCGGTAGGTTATTGACTAAAATATTAGTAAAAAATGTGAAATTGGAGTTGAAACGTGGATCAAAATTTTTACAATATTACAACATACTTTTAACCATTTTTTAGGGTCAAAGAAATACCGGGTGACAAAAAATTCTATTGGCGATACTGAAATATTGGTAATTCTTCTAATTTGTTATATCAGAATGTTTCAGGTGACGGCTAAATCAGCAATCACAATTGCCTATAAAAGTGTGACGTTTGAGTTTGAAACAGTGTTGCCAGGTCAAAAACATAAAATTTACCAGATCTGAGTTGAAAAACAAAAATGCGCTTAAAATAATTTTCGGCCAAATTTTGTGGTTTCGCAGTTTATTTTTGTCTTAATTTTGCTCAAAAACCAGTTAAATCGAGTGACACAAACAAAATAAGATCAATAGCAACTGTTTTTGTGAATTTTAAGCGTGTTTGGACAAGATTTTGAAAAATAAATGAGCTCTGGTTCAAAAACGAAGTAAATCGAGCGGAAAAAGCTAAAAATAATATCAATTTCGATTACAGTTTGTAATTCTTTTGTCTGCTTAAACAAATTTTTTAGATTTTTTTGTTTTGATCTCAAAAACTTGCTTAAACACTTGAAAAAGGCAAAAATAACGTCGTTTTTGGTCAAATTTGTTGAATTTTTGGATTGTTTTTAACGGAATTTTTGTGTTTCTAGCCAAAAAAGTATTCGAAAAAGACAAAAATTAATTGTCAGTTTCGATCCTGTTTAGTAAAAAACAAACAGAACTATTTTTAAGAATTTGGTGGTTTTTCGTCTTTTTTTGAAAAAAATTGACCAACTAATCAAGTTTCTGGTTGAAAACGTGGAAAATATTCGAAAAGCAGTTTTTTTTTATTTTCAAAAAATTACCAGATACATTGGCGGACACGGAATTTTGGACGATTTGTCCTTTAACTGACATAAAAATGTAAAACGGGCCTTAGGTAACTAACCTCACTTTCGGTTTTTGTAATTTTTATCTTGATAACTAGAGAAAAAAGGACAACAAATCAAAATTATTTATTGAACTTATATAAAAACACGTATTGCTGGCATTATTGTTTCGGAAAATCGACGCCAAACAACTAAGATTTTCAAATTTTAGTTTCAAACGTCAATCATAATGACAATAAATTTGATGTCCAAAATTCCGTGTCCGCTAATGTATTAGAATTTTTTCAAAAGTTTTTACCAAATCACCAGAGTAACATGAAAATCACCAGATCTGGTGAAATTTCACCAAACCTGGCAACACCGGTTGCCAACCTAAAAAAATTTGGACACTAACTGGAAGTAAAAAATCACAATCATTTACAGTCACCCGATAAATACAATTTTCAGCTATGTAAATTTCCGTTTAAATTTGTGAATTTTCTTCGTTAGATGCCCCCGCGTCCGCTCATAACCCACGGCCAGGCCACCCACGAGGGGGAATTCCCGTGGCATGCGGCCCTCTACCACGCCAGTGGCATCGACTTGACATACATCTGTGGCGCCTCGCTTATCAGCCGTTATCACCTTTTGACCGTCGCCCACTGTGTTACCAAACCCAAATCCCAGGAAATCCTCGATCCCGGCAGTTTAGTTGTATACTTGGGCAAATATTACTTGAAACGATGGTCAAATCCCGGAATTCAAGACAAACATGTCGACAAAATCACAGTTCATCCCGACTACAAATCGCAAGTTTTCACAAACGACATTGCCATCCTCCGGATGTCGTCTCCGGTCGAACTCACGAATTACGTCCGACCTGTGTGTCTCTGGGACGAAAACACGCAATTACAAGCCGTGGTTAACAAAGCCGGTAAAGTATACAGGCTGTCCCACCGAGTTGGTAAAGTCCATTATTTACCTTTCAATAGTGAAATTTAAATTTAAAAAAAATTATACAGGCTGCGCCAGAAATTGCGCCTCAGAGCAAAAGTTAATTTTCAACGATTTAAAAAAATAATAATTTTTCTTAAATTTGTAAAAAATTCGTTTAAACAAATTTGTCAAATTTTGATTGAACGACTCATTCTAGAAAAAAAAACTAACTATGTACCTATTCTTAATCCTCAGATAATATTACGTTAGAAATAGTTAGTTTTTGGGCTATTTTACGGCTCGGTTTTTCAAATAAAAACAATAACGGCTATGCTAGAAATTAGTCTTTAACCAAGCAGGGTTGAATCCCAAAAATGTAAAGACAAAAAAGACAGATTTTGATGAAAACCTTGAAAACTACTCTTCAAAAGCAAAAACTAATTATAGATTTGTAATTTTCGGATGATTTTATATTAGAAGATGCTTCTTTTAAGCTACTTCTCTTTCTAAAATTTTGAAAAAAATCACTACTGTTTGCTTAACTTTAATTAATACTTCGAACACAGGTCTTTGTTAACAAAAAATCAGCATCGAGAGCAGGTGTAAACACAATATTTATTTTTCTATTCATATTTATACAGGGTGCGCCAGAACTCGTGCCCCAGAGAAAAATGTCATGTAAGGTAAGATACAGTTGGAGACGAAATACTTTGGTCGTCACTTTTTGACACTTTAATGTAATTCAAGATTTAACGTTAAAATGAATGACAATTTTAAATTAATGACAGCTATTATATTTTCCTATCAAAAACTTGTCAACTATGATTGACAGTAGCTAAAAATAAGGTTAACAGTCCTAAAGCATACTTTACAATTTAATGTCACTCAAGTGACATTGACGACCAAAGTATTTTATCTCCAACTGTACTAGGAACATGGAAAAAATGTTAAAAAAATTTATTTATAAAAATTTAGGAGTTCTGAGAGTTTAAATTTCGCACTTTGGCTCTATTTATTTCTGTTGAAAAAATAATTTTCTAAGTTTTTTTGCTACAGGTTATTAATAACTCTGTTTAACATTATTTGTGGCTTTTATTGGCAAAATTTTTGTACCTTTACTAAATATGTAATTACAAAAAAACATATACAAGATCGTCAGTATCATAAAATAGACATAAATATCAAAAATAAATGTAAAAATTTTTTGGCAGAAACTTTTTTTCCATGTTCCTGGTATCTTACCTTACATAACATTTTTCTCTGGGGCGCAAGTTCTGACACACCCAATAAAGGCAATTAATAAATACTAATCTAGTGGATAGCCTAAAATTATTTTCAACTATACAGCGTGTCCCAAAAATAAGTTACATTACAAACTTGTGTTTTCCAAATGAAACACCAAAATTATGTTTCTTGGCATTTTTTATAACAATGTTTTTAAGTTTAACTTTTATTGGTTTCTGAAATAAGTTAGTTTTCTAGACGGAAATATACTCTTTTTTAAAATTTATTACACAAAAGGGTACGACAGCTAGAAATTCTTTTTGTTGTATATAATTGTAAAGTGGAAACCACATTGTGAAAATCAAATACAATCGATTCAGTGCAACATAAAAGTTCAATGATATTTCTTCTATCTCTAGTGCAAATGCACTTTATAGCTAGGTATTGAAATAATGATTAATTTTTTTAATGTTCCATTTTGTGTTTATTGTCCTTGAAATATGATAACCTGATTGCGTAGTAGATGGTTTTATAGGACACAGGGAAATAAAAAACATTAAATTCGTCGCGACGTTTCGATACTTTAATTGTATCTTCTTCAGGCGAAGAATTTTCGTTGGTTGAGCGTGTGAAGCATGGCACAAGTCAAGGAATAACTGTTTATAGTTAAATATCTTTTTAGTAATTAATTGTAGGCACTTAAAAGTAAATATTTTTGGAAAGATAATTTAATAATCTCTTAGATTCAAAAACATAAAAAAAGAGTTATTTTAAGTTATTTAACTTGTAATAAACTTCTTCATTTTTTTTATCTCTGCAAGTGCAACAAACTAAAAAATTGATATAGTCTTAAGATTTGTACTTTTACTTTGCACTTGTAAAAGCAAATTTTAACAGTCTTTTAGTTACTGTGAATGAAGTTTTTGGAAAGAGTATATTTTTGTCAAAAAAAAACAAATTTATTTCAAAAACTAAGCGAAATCGACCAATAAAAGTTTAGCTTAAAAACATTGTAATAAAAAGCTACATTCAGAAATGCCAAGAAACATACAGGCTATGGAACCAACAATTATTTATAAATTAAAGTAATATAAAAAATGTGATTGTATTTTGTTTTGTTTTTAAATTATTCGATTTTTTTTTTGAGAAAATTAAATATAAAGTAGATAGTTGTAATCCTTAGATCATAACCTTCATGAGAAAAATAGTTTTATAGTGGGTTACTAAATCCAAAAATTTTATTCTTGATAAAACATCAAATTTTTATAGTACTTTATCATTCATTAATTAGTTTTTCCAAAAAAATAAATAGTTTAAGCAAAAAACATTTGATTTCATACTTTTCATTCACCTGGTATGGTGTTTCATTAAAAAAAAAAACTCAGTTATTATAAGAGATACGAGGTTGGATAAATTAGGGCAAAGTTGAGCATTTTCATGCTAAACAATTATGTATATGATAAAAAAAATTGAATTATGGAATTCTAAAAAATTCAAATTTGTAATTTTCGTTTTTATTTTTTCAAGCGAAAACCAAAAGAACTAAATAGATGTTTTTAACTAGGACGTTCTTGAGACACTTTTTTACAAGGAATCTAAATCTGTCACCGTATTTCCCAAGGCGATCTTAATGCCAGAGTTACGAGTACAACACTCAACTTTGGTTTTTCTTATTGGTGCTATATTCAATTTTTTTCATTTTTTAAAAGATTTTGTTTTCCTGATTATAACAATCTATCACACGATACCATCTTACATGTTGATTAAAATGAAAAGAAAACGTTTCTGCGAAGAGTGCTTTAGAATGAACACCAACAATTTTCTTATACAAACTAAATTTTGACCGTTCAGTTAAATGTGCGAGCAGAACTTTTAAATTCTTTCAAATTAATCTACAAGAATGTAAGATTTCATCATATCGTGTGACAATCAGGAAAAAAAAATTTTTTAAAAATCAAAAATCCAATATGGCGCCCAGAAAAAATCAAAATTGAGTATTGAAACTCTGGCATCAAGAACGCCATGGTGGAGCTCGAAAAACGGACACCCTGTATAAACTTTCCAAACATTTAACAATTAAAGGTCAACAATGGATTTTATCAACTTATGAGAGAAAAATACTAAAATACGTTGCAGGAACTGTCGTAGGGTGGGGTTTTGATGAAAACGGCCGAGTCACTGAACAACTCACCAAAGCCAAAATGCCGGTGGTGTCACAAGAAACGTGCATTTACTCATTCCCTGATTTCTACTCTCGATTTACTTCCGATAAAACCTACTGTGCCGGCTTTAAAAACGGTAATTTTTTTCTCCTGTTGCGATCATTTAAAAAGTTGGTTTTGAAGGTACTTCAGTGTGCAATGGGGACTCGGGGGGCGGCATGGTCTTCCCCAAATCGAACTCGAACACAAACAACCCCGTGTGGCAGCTGAGGGGCCTCGTCTCGATCAGCGTGGCCTTGCAAAACCAACTCAAGTGTGATGCCTCTCATTATGTTGTTTTCACAGACGTTGCCAAGTATTTAGACTGGATCAAAGCCTCACTTAATTAAAAATTGTCAACTTTGCATTCTTTTATTTAATTAAAATAACACAATTATAGTTTAGTGTGCTCCCCGGACGGTTCGTTTCTACAAATCACCGAAATTCGCCTGTCTTTAACCACTTTATCCCCCTTGAAAACGCTACAATTGTTGGACAAAATCTCGTGGGTGTAATCGAATCTAGCTGTGCCCCTCATAACATAAAGAGACCGTTTTTTTAACATAATATTTGCGTAAATAGTCTTGTTTTTATCGAGCACTAGTCTCATAACACTATCACTTAACAAACTCAAACCAGCGATTGTATCCCCACAAAACTGTAATCAAATTACAATTTTTTTCTTATTTGCTACTATTACTCACCCTGATGGCATCTATGTGCGGCTTGATGTACCCCTCCTTATCCAAGTCCAAAATGTGCACATGTCTCAACTGAGCAACGCTTGGGGGAAACGCAATCTCTCGAACTCTGCTCAAAATCTTCGTATTTGATTCATTCCAATTCAAGCGTTCCGTTTCACGATACCCGTGAATGGCCTAAAACCACAATTAAACACTGTTTGAGACAAGTATGCCACACACATCGTCCCAATGGTCAAACTCGTATTTCAATTCGCTCATGTAGGGCTCAATTTCTTCAATTAGACTTTTTTCCTCACTTTGCGACAGGAAATCGTTATGAACGGTCATGGACGAAACTAGGGCTTGCCCCAAGTGGGGCTCACTAGTCAGAGCTTCGTTTAGTTCGATGTAATCCGGAATTTTGACTAAAACTAGAACAAACCTAACCTCACTTTTTACAATCGGGCAAAATACGAACCGTTTTGGGGCACAGTTGCCTGCGAGAGGCTACGGGATAGGAGCCATGCCGGGCGGAATAACCCACTCAAAATCATAATTGCCACAAAATCAAAACTAAATCAATTGGTATTTCGAAAAAAGTTGGGTTATGTTTTTGACAGTTGCATACACCCTATTCCAAAGTTGGGGCCAAATGACCCACCAAAAAAACAGTTTTGGTTTAGTTGGACCCCAAAAAAATTACACCAGGAAGTGGCCACTGTGAATTGGACGCATACAAAATTGTCCAAAGTAAAATAATCCAAAGTAAAAGTGTCCAACGTAAAATAATCCAATGTACAGTCGAACAAAGTGAAAATGACGCTTCAATAAACCAGCCCCTGCTGTGGATGCCCTCTACGATGCCGACCCTTCAAACCGCAAACAGGCAGGATTGTAAATTATCGGATTGCAAACTTGACGTAGTTTCAAGATAAATTGTTTTAGGAGCCAGTTAAATTAAAATGTAATTTTTTTAATGAACAATTTAACAACCATTTCTGCATTGACGAAAAAACAAATCATTATGAATTTAATATTTTTTTAACTGTTTTTCAAAATAAAATTATTTTATACATCATTCAAAATATTATTGTTTTACATAAAATCAAGTTTAAAATACAGAAAGCCTATTTCGTATAAAAATTATGTTATTTAATTTAATTCTGAAATACAGTTTATCAAAAAAGTGTATTACATTAATAATATTTTATTTTGTTGTAAATTTCATCTTATTTCTTTAAGAAATGGTTTTTGTTAAATTGTTTGTTTATAAAACTAAATATTTTTATTTAATTTAAAAGTATTACAATTATTAACAAGTAAATTTTGTAGCATAACTAAAATATTTGAAATAATTATGCCGTTTTTTTCTTGGTTTAATTAAATAAATAATTTTGCTTTGTTTTCAATGACAATTACAAAACTAATAGAAAACTTAGGGCTGGTTTACAAAACGTGTTAATCACAATTAAATTTTAATTCGCGATTAACTTGACGTTTGTCAATGCAAAATAAATGGCGGTAAAGGCACACGTGGAATTAAATCTTCTTCTCGCAAATAAACAATGATGGTTTAATTCATTTGTTGTTTTACATAAAATTAAGTTTAAAATAGAGAAAACTTATTTCGTTTAAAAATTATGTTAATTAATTTTATTTTGAAAAAACAGTTAATTTTTTTTAAGTTAATAATGATTTGTTTTTTCATCAATGTCATTATTAATGCATAATTTTCTTCAAAAAAAAAAAGGATTCGACGTTTGTCAATGCAAAATAAATGGCAACTTAATTCGAATTAGTTTAATTCTGAAATTAATTTTCATTTCGCTTTCTGTAAACCGACTCCTAGAAAAAATTATCTTAAAACTACGTCAAGTTTGCAATCCAGTAATTTACGATCCTGCCTGCTTACGGTTAGAAGGGTCGGCATCTAGCAGGGACTGGTTTATTGAGGCGTCATTTTCATTTTGTTCGACTGTACATCGGTCCAACATAATTTTGTCCACCGTAAAATAATCCAACGTAAAATGATGCAAAGAAAAATCAGCATTCGTATAATTATACATAATTGTCCACCGTAAAAAAGTCCAACGATTTAGGAACATGTTTGGGTTTTGGCAGTATTGACTCAAGAATAAAAAGAAAAATTGACGATATCAAACGAATGTATAAAAAACAGCAAATTTTATCGATTCTTGTCATAAAAAATTGCATTAAATTAAGAAAAATTACTTTATAAAGTTCATAAAAACTACTTGGTAATTTTGTTATCAGGTTGGTACTGCAAAGAACACCAAAATCTTTGGACATTTTTACGGTGGACATAAGTACGGATACTCATTTAACTTTGGACAGAAATACTTTGGACAAAATTGAGCTCTCCCTATGAATTGACCGTGACTTATTTGAAACAAGTAAAGTCTGTTTTTTTTTAATGGATATGCCAAACAGTCTTAACGTTGGCACCACTAGTAAATTCATTCATGGTAATTTTAATAAAGGGAGTTGGCAGTTCCTGTTTTTTGAATAAATTTGAAAACAATGTCATTAAACGTCAACACAAAAAATCGTCGAAACACCAAAAAAGGAACAAATTCGGTACCGCTAACAGTTTTTAGAAATTTGGAAACGAATGGTTCGCAAGCAGGAAGTTAGAAAAAGGGCCCGTTAAAATGTAACACAATTTGTAATGCAGGTTTGCTAAACATTCGCAATTTTTAGCAAGAAATTGACAAGAATACAAAATAAACATGAATGGGAAAGAACGCAATTAATTTAGTGTCTTGTGCATCGTTTTTGAAGAACGAGTTGAAAAAGTAACAATTTTGAAACAAAAGCTGAAGAAAAATTTATAAAATGCATTAACTTTGAGTTCATTTCAATAAATTACACAAAAGTTATTGCCAATCATCAAAATACCTACTTGTATCTTTCGCTAAATAACTTTTTTCTGTATATACATCCTTTTTCCTCAAAGTTTTTATAGCAAGAATCTCATTTTTGTCCACAACATTGTACTTACTTGCGGTGTGTTTCTGTCAAAATTATTAGCACTGAATTCTGTCTTTAGACATTAGGTAATGATGTCTGTCCTCAGGTATTCAATTATAGCGCTTTCAAAAAGCAAACAGGCACACAAGATTCTTAAAAGTCAAAATTTTGACATATCAATTTGAAAACATAACCATAATTTTTTAACAAAATTTCTAGGGACAAAAACAAAGAGCAAATAAAATTTGTGGCTATGGAGACAAGCTGCTACCATTTTTTTCACCAAAATTTTGACTTGGTAATTTTCATTTAAAGAAAAAACAGACTTTAATATTTGAAACGGGGTGTATATAATATGGCGGCAAATTTGAAATTGACATTGCTAATATAGCGTAAAAAACTTTATTTAATAAAACATCTACGGTAACAAAACTGAAAGTGTGTGCTAAAATAAAAAGCGTAACTTAATTATTATTCTCGAGGCAACAACAAAAAAGCTTAAAATAAAACTTAGATACACGTGGCTTGATGGCGCAAAAGTTGCGACGCCGGTATCATATCAGCGCAAAATTCACAAGGCAACTCGACTTCCGGTGAACTTGGTTGTGGGGGCACAAAATAATCATCATCTTCCGACGGCACTCTCCTCCTCGGGTTAAACCTAGCCAAATCAGGTCTACACCCTGTCTCATGTTGAATCAAATCATCGTGAGGTATGGGAACGTTGCAAAACTCGCAAGGAATCGTCAGTTCAGTTGGGGGATTGGGCCTTCGTCGTGGAGGTTGGGGGGCTGGACCTACGGAAAAAATGGCTGGCAAAGTGCCTAATTGACAGTTTTTCACCTTGTTGTTAATGAGTTAGTGAAAACACAAGGCCAGTAAGTATCAAAGTAGCTGTGACTTTGAAATTAGCAATTCTACCAACTTAATTTTAAACTCGTAGGTTACTGTGATAATTAAGCACACTCAACGGACCTTTATTGTGGTTGAAGTGATTTCTGGGAATCGCCCCGTTGTGTCTTAAAGGTACAGTAATGCTGGCCGAGTCGTGCAGCAAATTACGAATGTACTCGGTCTTGCCTGCAGATTTTTGAAAATTAAATTCGATCGAGTTATTTTTATACAATTTTGCGTAATTCGCATTTGAGCCAAGAAAATACAGAATGCGCCAGAACTCGCGTCCCAGAGGTAAATGCTATGTAAGGTAAAATACCAGGAACATGGAAAAAATGTTAAAAAGTTCTATCAATAAAAATTTCGAAGTAATGAGAATTTAAAGAAGAGTAAACAAGGAAGCTGTATCCTAAATTGTAACTCTTTATAATGGTATTTGTGGCTTTTATTGACAAAATTTTTGTACCTTTACTAAATTTTTATAAAAAAACATACAGAGTGTCCCAGCAAATTGAAAAAGTCCATCAGTGACTTTAAAATGGTAAAATTAAAAAATATATACACGAGTTCCACGAGTAATAATGAGTCTGAAAAAATTTTTGAAGCAACCAAAACTCTTTGCAGACTGCACGTTTCAATATCCAAATAGACGGACTTCCTAAAACTGGAATAGTCATTTTGAGTGATAAAAATTTGTCAAAAGTAAAAATACGATTACTATGTTTAACTAATTAAAACGAAATATTTTAGTATCCACGTTATCTATGAAATGTAATTTTGGTTGCTTCAAAAATTTTATCAGGCTTATTATTACTCGTGGGACATCCTGTATATAGGACATTGATACATACTAATCTAGTCCATCGCCTAAAATTATTTTTAACTATACAGCGTGTCTCAAAAATAAGTTACAATATAAACTTGTGATTTTTTTAATGAAACACCATATGTTTCTTAGCGTTTTTGGATGTAGATTTTTATGACAATGTATTTAAGCTAAACTTTTATTGGTCGATTTTGCTTAGTTTTAAAAATAAGACGGTTTTTTTGACGAAAAGGTGCACTTTTTAAAAATTTATTACACAAAAACTAAGACATCTAAAAATATTTTTTTTTACTACCACAAAGAAGAAGGTACAAGCTATAAGGTTGTAACATTTTTTTAGTGTGTTGCATTTGCAAAGATAAAAAAATTAAGGCGTTTATTAAAAGTTCAATAACTTAAAAAATTTAAATGGAACACCCTATTTGTTGCTTTTGCACTTAAAAGTTTATTAAATTGTCTTTCTAAAA